AAACCCTAAACCCTAAACCGCTCAGCTCACACTCAGTAGAGGCTTGAAGCTCACAGGATGCTTCCTAGATCCAGGCTTCACCTATAGTCTCCATTGTAGTTCCTTTTTTTGTTCAACCGAACATATATTAAGGATTCTATAACCTCAACCCCCAAAGTAAGCAAAATAATGGCCCAAGACCCATAAAAAAGGCCATTATTCTACATACTTTTGGGGTCCAGGAAGGTATCCCCCAAAAGGAACTGCAATGGGGCCTATGGGCAGAGGTCCAGATGCATGCGCGCTGGGGATTCGTTTCCAGCTCATTGCTGACCTTGAGGGTTCAGGGTCTAGGGTTTGCGTCTAATATAGGAGCCTAGACGACTACCTATAATATATATATTTTTTTTGGGGGGGGGTTCCTTAGTATAATTTTTAGTATAACGTATTTTTTAGTATAATGGACCCCAAAATCATACTCTAATTATTAAGGCCCCTATAGTAGGAATCTTGTACTGGAGGCTTGATGCGCGACATTCAGCTGGAGCGTCCCGGCCGCCACGTAGGTTTGGAGCAGATACTGTAGCTCTCTGAATGACGGTCCTTTTAGGCTCCTTTTCATAAGGGTGCCGCACTAGTGTGGGGACCACCTAAATCTAGGACATTTTCGGGTGGGCAGTTCCCGAAATAGGAGCCCTATAGAAGGTCTATATACCTTATGGAGGCCTTATAGGGGCCCTATATACCCTAAACTCCCCACCTGTAGTTTCCTGTAACTAAAAGGGGACCCTACCCTTAAACCCTACACCCTAAACCCTACCCTAAAACCCTAAACCCTAAACCCTAGAGAGCTACCCATATCCTGGCCCCTGGCCTCTTCGGGCCTCCGCTGAAGGCATTCGGGGGTTTGGATCTCCGAAGCTTCGGAATTTCAGGATTTCCGGGAAGCTTCGATGGGGTTTAGGGATTAGGGTCTGGGGTTTGGGGTTTAGGGTATCGGTCCGGTCGAGATCTGACAAGGCTGTTGCAAAAGGGTTCCTGGTTTATGGGGGCTTTTGAACAAGTCTTTGTCGAAGGGATGATTACGCGGATCAAGATCCCCACCCAGTGCCGCGCAAGTACTAGAAGAGAAGCTTTTGAAATTGGCCCATCTTGCCTCAAACAGACGGTCGAAACCTGATCTAATAGAGTCTAGTATATTGCGACATCATACAATACCCTAAACCCTAAACCCTAAACCCCTGTAAGCACCATACCTTGGTTCCTGAACTTCAGAGGAAGCCCGAGAAATGGCCTGCAGCCTGGACCTCCAGCCCAGAGCCTGGCTCCTGTACTTGGAGGGTCGGGGGACTTTGTAAATGGCTATTTTAAAGACTTATAAGTACTATAACCCCAATTAGGGTCCCTTTTAGGGTACTTATAAGTCTACTTATTACCTAATTACTAAGTCTCTCGACCCTCCAAGTAAGTGCTTTGAAGCTAGGGTTTATAGATGTTCATAGGGCCTATGGAGCCTTTCGTGTTTAGGGCCCAGGGATGAACCCCTGGAAGGTTCGACTCAGCCCCATATCCCAAGATGAGGTAGAAGATCACCGTAATCATGAAGAAACTCTCGGGCAGTGGCGCAGTCCAGGTTTGTTTTCTCCAAGTGCTACCGAGAAGATGCACGAGCTGCGCCTCGTCGAGCGAGACGGTTTAAATGTTCATCATAGAACCTACATGGGAGTCTCCGAAAATTAGGGTACCTTATAAAGGATCCTACTATTTAGGGTACTATAATAGGGTCCCCTATTTTCGGAAACCCCCACATGCAAGTGGGTACATGGGTACATGCGTGGATACAAACCTGCATGCTTGTGGATATGTATGTATGTGTATGAGCGTATGTATGGCGCAGCTGAGACGCCGTAAAGGAAGTCGCAAAGAAACCACCATGGACTTCCCTCAGCGGCTCCATATGATCGACCACAACCACAGTAATGTTGTAAACGGAGGAGAAGCAGCAGTAGCAGGCTGTCGTCGACGTGGTAGTAGTTGGAAAAGCTTTTCCATAAGCAGCGCAGCTGTTGGAGTCAGCAAGACTTGCAACATACAGGATTTGCATGCACTCGTAAGCAGAATAGTCCACGGCAGCATCGGCACCAGTAGCATCATTGTTGTCATGTCCGACATGTTAGCGGCAGACTAGAAAGGACAAGCTTTCGTGGCTGAGGAGCACCTGCGCAGCGATGAATCTTTCATGTCGCTCCTGGAAGCGGTCAAGGACGCCAATGGAGCTTCCGGGAATGACCGACCCCCATGAACAGCACCTCCAACCATCTAGAACAGACCATGTGTTATGATCATCCTCCCTGTCCTCAGCTTCACAATGTTAATCGGACCTTGCTTTTGCCGACCAGTGCGTAGCTTGTGCTGCCCAGAGCTCTGCGTCTCCAAGATCCGAAATCCTGCCAAGCTCAGCCCACAGGAAATCTACAATGGGCAGAACACCAGCAACTTGGCCGTTTGTCATGGCGACCTTCATGCGGGGAGCGTGATGGCCACTTCAATGCAGCAGGATCGATGGCATTTGGGTTTCTGAAGGCTTTACCGTCTTCCACCTGAGAGTCCTCTCGATTGCGCAGTCCTTGGGATTTAGCGGGCATCGCCCTAATCTCCCAACCCGAAGCCCCCAAACCCTAATCCCCAAATTCTAAACCCTAAGCCCTAAACCCGCAACCCTCATCCCCAAACCCTAAATCCCAAACCCTAAACCACAAACCCCAAAACCCTAACCTAGGGGCTGCGTAGGTAAGCTTTAACCTTTCGGGGCTTATATAATTAATCCGACGATAATTCAACAGGTTAACCGTTTTTGGGCTAGGGTACTCAGCCCCTAAGCTAAAGAAGGTAGATTCGATCCTAAAGCTCTGCGATGTTGAGTCTCAGCCCCCAGGTCAAAGACCTGAAGCTGAAGCTTTGGGTCTGCAAAGCTACACAGGGTTTGGGGTTTGGGTTTTAGGGCTTCAGGGCTTAAGGGTATTAGGGTGTAAGGGTTTTAGGGTTTGGATGAAAAATGGGTTTAGGGGTTTAGCGGCTTCGGGTTGTAGGGTTTCAGGGTTTAGGGTTTAGGGTCTCCTCGGCGCTCACAAAGCAAGACTAGGTAGGCCTTTGGGACACTTCGTGCTGTCGTTTATTGGGCTTAAGAGGATCTTATTTACGAATATTTTTCAGGGGCTTGAAAGGGCCAAACTAGAATATGATCATCATATTTATGTTGCTATCGATGTGGATTGTGAGCCCAGCTGCAGGTGGGTGGCGAATCAGCAGCCGCCGCTGGACTGATACAGCACCCAAATTCGCCAACCCGAGCCACGAAGCACCGCGAGCATCTGTACGTCTCATGGGGAATTGAGCTTATATTCGCAGGCCTTATGCTCCTCTCCCCATACATATATATATATATATACATATATATATAGGCCCGTAATTCCAGACGTCCTTAAGACACTCAGACCTGACCATGACGGCTTCGGCATCTCAGACGCTCAGAAGCTACTGTCCAAGCCCGGGATCGGGGGTTGATGTAGGGAAACCTGTTCGATAAACTCCCAAACACCCCGAAACCCGAAACCCCTAACGCCCTAAACCCTAGAAAACCCTAGAAAACCCCAAGCCCCTAAACCCAAACCCTTATTTACAGCCCTAAGCCCTCTATGAAACCCCTAAGCCCGAAACCCTAAGCCCCAAACCCCTAAACTCGAAACCCCAAACCCCTAAACCCTAAGCCCCAAACCCCTAAACGCTAAACCCGAAACCTCCGAGGTGAAGATCATCGATCCTGAGTTTGCCATTTTCGGCCCACCGGGCTTGGACGTTGGCTCCCTGCTCTCCACCTATGCCTTGGCCTACTGAAGCTTGGCTTTAGGGTTTAGGGTTTAGGGTTTAGGGTTTAGGGTTTAGGCTTGGTTTGGAAATCACCTGCGAGGGCTCCTTCTCGGGTTTAGGGGATAGGTTTCTAGGATTTAGGGCCGTGGGGTTTAGGGGTTGGAGGGTTTTAGGGCTTGCGCTGCAGCCCCTGCTCAAAAAACAAGCTTGAGATCGAATCTAATGTTAACTTGGCAATTATAATCCCTCCCTCAATTATAAAACCCGATCTCCGGAACTCAATTTTAAACCACCCTCAATTATAATTAGGGGGCTGAGGGGCTTTCAGGGCTAGGCCAGGCAAGGGTTTAGGGTTTAGGCCTTGTTCAGAGAACGGGTGCGACACGTCCAGGCGCGACTCACGCAAGACTCAAAAAGGGTTTATAAGGTTTAGGGTGTAAGGTTTAGGGTTCAGGGCTTTGGGTTTAGGGTTCAGGGTTTCAATAGGGTTTAGGGTTCTTACTTCTGGTGAATCCCTGGAGCTCGTTTGTTCTGTCGCTGACAAGCGCATGTTTCACTTGACAAGCACACTTGAGCTTGAACAAGGCCAGTTCTGCCGGTAAACCCGAGGCACAACACTCACCCGCCCCCATGAACACCCCAATGGCTAAACCCCGGACGCATGAAACCCTGCGAAGCCTGGAGGTTACCACAGCGCCTTGAAGAGCGCTTGCAAGGAGGAGTCAGCTCTGTGGCAGGGTTATAGCCCTGGTCAACGCTACCATGCCTGACAACAGCTAGTGGGGATCAGGACATTGACATTAGGATTTAGGTTGTTGGGTTTTGGGGTGTTAGGCCAACAACAGCAAAAGGTCCCACTTCAAAAACGGGTTGTTGACCTCATTCTTCGCAGCCCATCCCCAACTATGTACCCAGACGTTGCCGAGAGCGGGTGCTAGAATATACCGAGGCGAAAGCCATTCCCCAAAATATGCGTCCGTTCGAATCTCGCTTCGGTGGGTAGTGCTGCTCCCGCCCCTGAAAGCAATAGACGATCAGATCCGTTTAGCAAGCCAAGCAGCCAGACGGTGCTAAGCAAATTTCTGTTTTGAAATGCGCGCAACTTACTATGCACAGTGCATCAGCGGACAAGGCGTCATCTCAGTCCATTCATATAACCCTGCTTAAATCCTCACACATAGCCTACAGCCTATGGCCAGCACACCTCACGCACGGTTCTCTTTGCTGTCGTCAGTCACATTTGCACGTCTTATCACAGCTGTGCATATCTTGACCCAGGTAGCGGCCTTAGGGATAATTTAGGTTACCCTTGTTGGGCTGATGCAGCTCCAGCGAAAGAGTTCGCATTCCGCCTCCACGGCAAAGAGCCCGGATACTGGAGTGGTGAACTCCCGCTCGTTTCGGCTTCAAGTGTGTAGGGTTAACGGTTTAGGACTTATAGGGCTACAGGATATGTAGCCTATCCCAGGTTTGAGCCCTCAAGTGTAGGGTTAACGGTTTAGGATGTAGGGTTGAAGGATATTATAGCCTATCCCAGGTTTGAGCCCAGTAGCGCATGGGGTATAGCCGACCAGGCTCAGGGGCCAGGCATCACTCACGACGAAGCATCTCTTCGTAGCAAGCTCTTTGGTGCGGAGCAGCCAAGATGGCAATTCATTGCTGCCCAGAACAGGGCCAGTTTTAGGAGGAAAGGGGGTCCTGAGCTGCTAAGTTCTATTCACAGGGTTTAAGATCTGGGTTTTGGGATATGATGGGCTCAGAAACTTGGGCTTAAGGTGTTTCGAATGGGTGTGTTTGGAATATCAGGGTTTAGCATTTGATTGCGTCAAGCGGGTGCCCTGCTTTAGAAGAACCCCCTGCGGCGCACAGGCAGGACTCCGGTGTTGGTGCACCAACCAGTCTTGCAGACGTCCTCGACAGTCGTCCAAATTAGAGTGCTTGTAGAGTGAGACAGGTCCCCTAAACTCTACAGACCCCAAGCCCCTAAGCCCAGACCGTAATCAATGCAATCGCCGGCTACCGTCCAATAAGCGAAACCCTAAACCCTCAAATCATCGGAGGAGCTGCTCAGCGCCATGCAGGTGATTTGGGAGACCTACCTGGGAGAGATGAAGGCACCAAGACAGCAGCAAGTAGATGGGAGTTTCAGAAAATAGGGGGACCCCTTCACCCCGGTATCGAACCTTGAATACTGGCGTAGAGACCCCCTAACTAAACGAGGCACGAGCTTTCAAGAAGCCCGAAGATGAATACTCTAATTACCTACACTATTTTGGGGGGAATCTTTATTAGTTATAGTATAAGATGCCCCAAAACCCTATTCTAATTATTAAGGCGCACAAACTTCAACTTTGCTTCGTAGCCGGCCTGTGCCGGCCGCTTGGGCTCTAAGCCCCGCTCTAGTGTTTGGATGTACAACAGCTAGTCTACCCATAGGCCCCAAAGTAGTTCCTTTTTGGGATTACCTTATAGGGTTCTATATATGAACCCCAAAAAGGAACTACTATGGGGCCTATGGCTAGACAGAGCATGTTTCGATACACCCGCAAAGGCCCCTACTGATGTTAGCGTGATCTAGCCGTCGCCGAACGACGCGAGACGATGATGGTTCATAGCCAGATGGCGACGGTAAAAGCATAGTCTTGCCCTAAACCTTAAGCCCTAAACCCTAAACCCCTGAACTCTAAACCCTAAACCCTAAACCCCTGGAGGGAAAAGCCCCTAAACTCTAAACCTTTAAAGGGCGAAAGGAGGCCTACCGAGCTTGGCCTCGCCGTAGAAAGCGAGAACGTCGAGTTACAAGCTCTGGGCCTGCGAGCCGTTTTTCGACAGCTTGAACAGCAAAACTGGGAGCTCCTGAGGTTTAGGGTTTAGGGGTTTAGGGTTTAGGGTTTAGGGGTTTAGGGGTTTAGGGGTTTAGGGGTTTAGGGGTGTAGGGTTTAGGGGGGGTTCAGGGTTAGGGGTTTGGGATTTAGGGTTTAGGGATAAAAACGGTTTTGTGTAGATCCATACTTCCATCGGACCTTATGCAAAAGAGTAGAGCTGAGCGAAGCAATTCGGCACTCGCGCTTGGCAGATATGCTTCGATAGGTTCGGGCCTGGTGGGTTTCTAGGTACCCATGTGCGATGTCTCTTAATTTCCTGTTGAAATCGACACCTAGGTGTTCCGTTGTGGGGCCGCAGCCTCTCTATCCCCAATCCTGTCTCAGGCTGCGGGTATTGCAGACGACTTGCTGAAGACGCTTAGCCGCATCGCAGCCTGAGTGCAGCCGCAGCCGCAGGTTTCAGGCTACAGAGCCTTCCGATGATTGCATATTTCGGCTTTGGGCCTTTTGTTGGGGTACAGAAAGGCTCAATGGTCGATAGACCACGTCAAGACCCCTCAGTCAACGGTACTCTACCTTTACCACTGCTACCATTATCTACTCTGTTGTCGGTTGTCACCATAAACGGTATTCTCATTGTTACTTTTTCTTGCGGTGCTCATGCGAGCCGTCGGTGTCTGCTGTAGGCGTAGCCTAAGCAGGGTCTACCGTTGTGCGTTGTCTTGCGTTCGGGCTCACCAATAAAAGCTTACGTTCTACCCAGAACTTGACAAGCTGAACGGATGAACCGTGCCAAGGCTTTTCTGAGTTTGGGGTTTCGGATTTCGGCTTCTTTCGAATGAAGACGCCGAGCAGAAGAGGGATGTGCTTTCAGGTCTACCGAACAAGAGGCCGTGGCCTTCGCTGGCTGCGAGATCGCCCGGACGGCCCTGGGCATGGCCTACGAACGCTCGCTGCGAATTGAGGACTGCCGGTGCGGGCGAGGATCTTCGGATCTGGCACCTGGGTTCTGGGCTCTGGAGCTTTGCAGCCTTTGTGTTTCACTTAAGTGCGACTGCGGGGGTACAGCACGTTATGACACAGAAGCATCAGCAGCAACAACAAGAGCAACAACAACAACAACAACAACAACAACAACAACAACAACAACAGGAACAACAACAACAACAACGACGACAACAAGAGCAACAACAACAACAACAACAACAACAACAAGAAGAAGAAGAAGAATAAAAAGAAGAAGAAGAAGAAGAAGAGCGGCAACAACAGCAACAGCAACAGCAAGGACAGCAGCAGCAACATCAGCAACCGCTTGACGAGTCTTGAGCCAGATTACCATCAATACTGCTGCGCGAACCGCACCCACAAGGATGTTGCCGATGATGACCGTGATGGTGGCCATGAGGACGGTGACGATATCGGCATATAATGATTGCAGTGATCTAGTGAGGATTATGATGGTCATGATGATGATGATGATCATCATCATCATCATGATGGTGATGATCATGATGATGATGACGATGACGACGACGGTGATGGCTTTGAGGAGATAGGTGGGTGGCCCAGGCATCATCCAGGATAACCGGCATCAAACAGTGTAAGGTTCAACCAGAGTGAGGGCAGAGCTTGGTCCAACTTGGAGTTTGGAGCTGATGTCATCGGCATTCCATGTCTTGGTAGTTGTCAGTATGGGCTGTAAACAAAAAGCACAAAACCTGAAGCCCCAAACAAGGTGAAGTTCTTTTGCAAAGGATGGCCTGGTTGGTGAGTCTGATGGCGGAAGTTCGTTTCTGGCATCGCGTTGACCGGTGTTGGCACAGCGCATTCGGGTTGCCCGGTTTAGGGTTTCCTTTGCAAGGGGTTTGAAAGTAGGGAGGGAACCTCGAAAGCGAAGTTGGAAGAAAGCAACACATCCTGGGAGCTTGGCTCTCCTGTAGACTTAGATAGCCAATAGGAGAACTTTAAACTTTTGGGCTTTATCTATTAGGTCTATCCTAAAAAGTTTTGAACTTGTTTGGGCCTGGTTGTTGAAGACGAGAGTAGAAAGCTGCTTCCTGAGGACGATGTGGTGAAGGCCGGGCAAGTGGAGAGCTCGGTCTCGCGTCATGATTGCCGTACAGGGGTCGTCACAGCAGGAAATCGCAGGAGTTCCAATGAGTGTGTTAACTGTATCGTTTCTCTCTCTCTCTATATTATATATATATATATATATATATACAGACATCTTGTAAGTATGTAGAATATGTAAGCTGATGATTTTTATACAGCATGTAATATCCTTCTCGAAAATGATGTGCAATCCCTTCCCGCAGGTGTTCAAAAGGCATGTTGGTCACTCTCGGGCTTGCTCGGTTGGCCAAGCTGCTTCCTTGCTACAATCGAAGGTGTTGTTGGCCTTATGCATTATGCATCCTGATGAAGATTCAGAACGTCGTGCAAGCAGCATAGCCGAAAAGGGTTTCCAAACCCAGGAGCAAACAAGAAAACGTGCAAAAACCGTCAATGCCCTGCTGGCCACCCTACAACGGTACGACGGAGCTTGAGGGTTAGTCCCGGCTTTTGAAGCGGTGTGCTACACCCAAGCTCTCCAACCCTGAACTCGGAACACTCAGGTCACGACCTAGCCGAGAAGACCTCCGCGGTTCCCAAATTTCGAGACTCCAAATGCTAAGCTCCATACTTCCTGAAATCTACAGGAGTCCCATCTTAGTAGACCCCTGACATTGAACAGACCCGCCGGACCAAGCAATCCCTAAAAGCACTGAGAACCCTTAGTCAGACCATGAAGCCACATACGCTTCACCCAAACCTGTCACTCCCCAAAGCTAGACTCCAACACCCCAAGAATAACTACCGCTGCTATTCCTCAGCGTTCCCTGTTGTAACTGTATACTTTCCCCAAAACCAACTTCGTGAATTGTTCAAGCCCCTGTATCAAACGCTAAGGCCGCCTTCATATATTACCCTACACCCCGGAACCATTGATCCCTCATGCGCTAAACCACTAAACAATACCCCTACACCCGAAAACTCAAATGCCTAAACCCCTTAACCCTTAGAGCCCGAAGCCGAACCCACAACCCTTAAACCCCCCTAAACCCTTAACATCCCAGATCTCAAAACTCTGCATGCACCCTAATCACCCCGAGCCTTTTGCAGCCCCTCAGCCGTCAAATCCCTGAGAGCTCTGATCCTGCAAAGCCCCTACCTTGGACGCCCTCACCAAACCCTTGAAACCCCTAATCCGCTACAACCCCTAAACCCTAACCCCGCCCTGCAACCCTAAACCTTAAATGCTTACAACTCGCCTAGGCTTGTCCAATAAGTGTGAGTGCTGAAACGCGTGCAACCCTAAACCCTTACACCCCCCCCCAACAAAAAAAAATAATGATAATAATAATAATAATA